AAATTGGCCTGCTCTCAGCTAATCACAATGAACTTATCTGCTCAGTCATTTGGTCATTACTGTTAACCTTGTTGCCTTAGCACGTACACTTACGATGACGTTTGTAGGTCCCTGTGGCTTTCTCAGAAAGACGTCCCAAGATCTACAACGCGATGGTCACGCATACTGATCACATTCCTCTCGTAATCGGTTACCACATGCATACCAGCATTATAAGCAATAAAAATCCCTTAATTTTTGATAGTTTGGTAGGAGTGCATTTAATGAAAAATGATACTCAGGACCTGATCAGCAAGCCGAAAATATACTTTTTAAAGGCAAAATTTGACTATAAAGACTCCCTAAAGGTGTTAGAATTGTCTTAAGAACTGGAACACTTGAGTTGGATGCCACTCCATAAGAGAAATATTTGCATCTCGGTTATAAAAAAAGACATGGCAAATCATGGGAAAAGGTAATAAACAGTGGATCGGGACATGCAAAAACGGATCTGTCCCTTGAAACATCTTCTCCCCAGATGTTGCCTGATTTCTTACTGCCTGAGAAACCCATGGCCAGAATCGGTGAACCGTACCCTTGCGAGCTGGTGAAAGTCTCACCCATAGCAGGCAAACTTTTACAAGAAGATCTGCTGGGAAGTAGTAGTTGAGACATTTCTCCGAGAAGGAAGAGATAAAAATTTGCCAGCAATTTCAAAATTTGGTTTAAAAATACTATTTTTTGACCATCAGCTGGTAACTGATAGTAATTCTGCGAAATAAGCTCGCAAAGTGCCCCTGAACGACCTTCGACACGGTTCAACTTTTACAGACCACAAATAAATAATGATTACTGTGCTGCTACTTTTTCTTTCGTTGGCATCAAAACTATGGCAAGCCATTCCATTTGAACTAAAAGAAACAATCCTATTCCTATTTCTAGAAGAAATACAAACTGCACCTCCTAGAATATCAAGCTGTTTCTTAAAAACAATTTGTTTGATCAGCCTAATTACCTCCTACACGTCCTTTTATATATATATATAATCATCAGTACGGCATCTAATACGTAAGTTACGTAATACACTTTGCACTGTTTTTGGTACATAAGCTTATTGTCTACGCTAGTTAACTTAACGTGGCGGTGACCAACCTGAAAGCCTTGGCTACTTTGGTCACTACTCACATTTACTTTCTATTTATTATAATTTTGTTGTTTCTGTGTTCTTGTTAAGTTGGTAATATTATGTAATATTCATTTATAGATTGATTGTAAGAAATAGTGCAAAACGATAAAAAATGTTAATCTACGCAAGGAATCACGGAATGAATGCAAACTTTTATGGTTCCTCTCCTGCTTGCTTTACAGCTATCAGACGAGACACACTCGATTCCTCTTTGATTTCTCTGAAGTCAAAAGGTTGTTTACCATCTCGGCTTGAGTACGGATAATATCTTTGCAAACGCTCTTTAGTGACCAAGCTAGGATCAAAGACACCGTGAGAGCAAGACCATATCCAATTTAGAAGACTCTCAATGCTTTCGAAAACCAGCTGCATAAACGTGTCATAACTCGTAACAATGTGAAATCCTGCGGTGGAGCAGTATTCCTCTATCTTGGCCCTTTCTTCGAACTGACACTTTTCAAGAAAACGTGGCGCGTTCTCAGGATTGAGAACCATGTAAGCGCTCATTTCAAACGACAGAAAACGATCATTGTACTGAATGGCTATTTTCCCTCCTCGTTTTAGACTTAAAAACATATTCTTGAAGACTTCTTGTTTGTCTGGAATCCAGTGGATGACATGATTACTGAAAATAATGTCATATG